CAATTGTGTATTGTGGTTTGCTTTAGCTCTCTAAAATTGTTGACAGAATTTGAGTACAAACCCCAGGCACACGGCTTGTGGTTTCTGACTCACATATAAATATAGATAGTATAGTGCATACCTATTTGATATACGGTATATAAATATGATATATATATACATGTATCATATAATATCAACCATATTCACCACCTACTTCTCTCTTTCAATTCTTACCAGATTCTACAAGTTCCCAACTTCAGGATCTATGAATTTTCAAGTGTAGTCAGTTAGTGCATAACCAAATAGCTCTGTTACCACTGCCCATATATACAAGGTTGTGGGGTCATCCTCAGAACCATAGTCAACCTATCACAAACCATATGCTAAAAGAAAATGGATGCTCTCTCCTATGGAAGCTACAAACTGTCAATAATTTTATATAAAAAGAAAATATGCTACAATTGAATGAAATAAGAAATAATTTGTTTCAGGAGACCTGACTTCCAACCTTAGACCTAAATTTGGCAGTCTTAACTTCTGGCTAGGTTTTCCACTTGGGTTAAGATACTAGTGTTTTAGACATCTTCTTTCGACCTCCATTTGCCAGCTTATGCACACAGAGTAAAGCAAACATGCTTATTGTGGTTTACCATTGCGTGGTTGGAGTCAGGGTTTCTGTTCTCTTCTCATCAAGGGTCCATATGGACTGCAAGTGGCCCCCAGCTAAGTTTCTGTACACTCATCCACAAATTTATCGTGAACTAGCCACTCGGTGTAGCCTTAAAACAAGCTGTCCTCCACTTGCAGACTTGCTGCTGAAAATATCTAGTTTCACTCCCAGGCACACAGCATCTGTCTACCTAACATCTCCTTTGTCGTTCTTTGGCAAAGCGTAGTTTCTGATATCAATTCTGTGCCCTTTGGAATGACTGAAGACATCCACTGTTCAACATGTGGGAATAGTTTTCCCTTGGGATGATATGTGGCTCTCCAGGTCTTCTGTTGCACACAGTTATGCAGCACATTCCCTGGGCTCAGTGTGACTCTGCACTGCGTTGAATCCCCACAGCTTGCTACCCCCCCCCGTGAGCATGTTGTACCCTTGGCGAGTATTTTATGTATCTGGGTGATGTTCTTATGAAAAGCGTTTGCAGGTACCTTTCCTCCTGAGGTTTGGGCATACCTCTTTTATTCCTTTTGTTGACAGGATGATGGTTTTAATATGTCATAATAGATGTATTGTATATTCTCTCTGTTCTTGGCAAAAACTATTTTCCCTTCAACATGGCTTTTGGGAGTCAGTTTTCTTAGAGCTCCCTGACCCCGCATGTCCTCCAATCACTGACACAGGAAAAGTGGCTTTCTGAACTTCAGTTTCTTTAGTATGGTCTACTTTCTGTAAAAGAAAACGACCAACAAGCAAGCAAAAACACTAAAAATGTATTTCCAAATATATGCTTCTATTCTTCCCCAAGTGCATCATTTACCAATAAATAATTCAAACATCCTATGTCATGCCTTAGAAGGAATGATGTTCTGGCCCACCATGCTTGTGCTTAAATCTCTTGCGGAACACATGTGCTCATCAGTTTTTATGGACTTCCTCTGCATTTGGGTTTGGATTCTGAGAACAGACCTGGAAAACTGACTCAGAACTCCAAATGATTGAGCAGTGGTCCACGGGCAAATCAATTGCTCCCTCAAGAGGTGAGAGCTGTGAATGAGAAAACTGATAAAATAAAGTAAAATAAAATAAAATAAAAATTGGCAGCCTGTCATGATTTACAGTTACTGTCTTTAGTGTAGTAAACCTAATCACACTGGTTACTACTTCACTACATTCGCTGCCGGAGTCCATTAGAAGAGTCTAATTTACACTGCAGTGTAATTCATCTGTTTTATTAAGGTTACGCTTGTATTTATGTTAGAAGTGAAAGCGGCCTCTGGCTCAGTGTTATACAGTGATTCTGTGAAAATGCCACAGGGCACAACAGTTAATAAACCTAGAACTAGATTACAGGACCCATATTGTTGACATCTGACAACTTTAAAGTGAGTGTCATTGCATTGATGTAGGATCTTATAAAAATAGACATTAGCATCATCATTACTAGCCCATTCCAAATAATTACGGATCCCATTTACGGAAGCAGATAAAGGGTCTTTGCATACACTTTATTGAAGATGTTGACTTTTAATGCTTACTTTAACTCCTTCCCAGTAAAACTTAACTTCATTTGAGCTTGTGTTGAGAGTAAGAAAATCACCTCATCAAAGAACAGTGACAACTTAAAGATGAAGATTCCCTGATTAAGGTATATCATAATTCCAGAAAGATTAGAAATTTCCATCAAAATATGTTTTAGCTACTCAGATATTTTTAGGAGTTCTGTGGATTTCTGAGAGCCAGCTTACATCTACTATAAATTACCAGTAGTACTAGCTGACAGGGCACTGTCCATGCAGCTCCCTTAGTGATGCTCACAGATCAGAATTCCTGTATTGAATAATGCTAGTCACTCCCTGAATGTCTTCCAAGAACTTTGTTTCAAGAGTTCATTAGTTGCCCTGGGATATGGACAGAAAAATATTTTCTGGAAGAGAAAATTGAGGACTGAATGAGAGAATGATTTGTTACAAATTATAATTCATAACACATAGAAGAGGCTGAAGGAATAAGTAAACAACATATTACTGAAAAGACAAAGGCAGTTTTCAGTTTATTAATTTTACCTCATGGACATAACATCAATTTGACACAAGATAGACTTTCACTTGAATCTGGGTATTAAAACTAACATTCAATAAGAAAATTGCTTTGTATAATGTCTGACTTATATAAGGTGAAACCATGAAAACTTTGATCAATACCATTAAAGACAACAAGGGCAATATCAAGAACTAATACAGTGCTTTCTATCTTATAGAAAATTATCAATATTTATAGGATGTGTGAGTAAATTTTTCCTGATTTGTTTTTAGTAGGACATTTCAAGGAACATCAGAGAATAGCATGCATAGAAAGAAAGTGTCAGAGTCTGAGGACTCCTGAGAGTGTGAGCCAGCCATTTTCAGGTAGTGGGGATTCCTAACAGTGGCATGATATGGGGAAGAAAAGGCAGCTCAAATATGGACACTATGGACAGTAGTTCAGTCATCAACTCTGTCTTTATCTATTCTTTTGCTTCACATTGCAATTCACCTGCTTGGGTTTCTGTATCTTCATTTTAAAATTAAGATCTAAGAAATGGACACCTGTGAGTTTATTGCAATATTAAAATTCCATAATTTATCATTCATGAAAACATTCACACTTCAGATGTGGAAGAATCATACTTTGGAGGAATTCAGGAAAGTACCTTCATTATTTAAGTCAGCTGAATGTTTTTAAAGAATGATTCACTTTTATAAGCTCTGCCTTCCCAATCCAGTCAAATGCTGATTCTTATATCCAATGCACCTAAGAATTACTCAAAACCATAAACGTGAGCCGGGCGTTGGTGGCGCACGCCTTTAATGCCAGCACTTGCGAGGCAGAGGCAGGCAGATCTCTGTGAGTTCGAGGCCATCCTGGTGTACAGAGCAAGTTCTAGGACAGCCTCCAAAACAATTCAGAGAAACCCTGTCTTGAAAAAAAACACAAATATTTCTCAATTATTATAACAACTCAATTATTAATACTTTAATGATATATCAGTTCTAGTCAGGATTCATGGGATTCCTGAATGTATCCCCTTAACTCCAGTGAATTTTCTATATTTACTAAAATCTAGGTGACTCAAGCTTTATTCACTTGATATTTGTCCCTTATAGTTTATTAGTGATAAAACATTAGCAAAGAAAAGAATCTGCTTTTTCATAGATATTCCAAATAATAGCTATATGATATTTCATATATAGTATTAGTCTCACAACTCAGATAGTCATATCAAAAAAAATGTTACAATATTTTATGCTTCCTACGCTTGCCTGCAAGTATCTATGTGTGTATGCCATGTGCACACATGGCGCCTTTACATGACTGATAAGGGCAGCAGATTTCCATGTGATGCTTGGAAACAAAGCCAGGTCCTCTGAATGAACGGTGAACTATTGGATCATCTCTCCATCCCTTAAATCGGCAGTTTATCAAAATAACTACTTCTTGTGAGGATGGATAGGCAGTGGTCTCCTGAACAGTATCTAGAGTAGTAAAGTTGTTGAAGTCCATTGGGTTTCACTTGCCCCTGATTCCCTTTTGATACTGCCTATAAGTTCACAGTTGTTGGGAATAAAACTCTTAATAACCCAAGCTTTTATGTGTATTTCGAGTTTGACATAAAATCGCATCAAGTTGAACAGTTTCTCATTCCCCACCAGCTGTCAGATCCTGTGACAGTTGGAACCATTATCTTTTCCAAACCCCCTTTCTCCAGGGACTTTCTACCATGTATTCTGCCCCACTATATATCCAGGAAAGATCTCTCTCTCTCTCTCTCTCTCTCTCTCTCTCTCTCTCTCTCTCTCTCTCTCTCTCTCTCTCTCTCTCTGCTTCACTTTCACTACTCTACGTATATATATTCAAATATTCAAATTTAACTTTTTTTTGATTCTTTGTGGATTTCACATAAGGCATCTCAATCCCTCTCATCTCTCTGTCCCTCCCATCATCCCTCCACCCTTGCAACTCAAAAATTCAAAAGAAAAGAAAAAATAGAAAAAAAATCTTGTTGTGGAACTGTAGTGTGACTCAGTGAGTCACACAGTCCTTTAGTCTATATATTGTTGCTTGCAAGTGTTCACTGCATTGAGTCGTTGGTCAGGTTTAAGGTCTCTTGCTTTTGCTACATCATCAGTATCAGCTTTCATTGGGCTCCTCTTGGATACCCTGTTGTTGTCCTGTCTCACAGAGATCCTGTACCTTTGGAACTTCAGATCATCAATAGGGTGGATGATGGGATGGGCCAACTTAAGCTTCTACACCATCACAAGCAGGGTCATCTCTGTAAGTTGCCCAGGTGTAGGGAGAGATCACGTACCTGCAGTTGACCATGCCTGGGTGTGGTCATGGGTATGCGGAAGGATTCAGAGATAAGAGATGGTAGAGGAGAGGGCGCTCTCTCTCACTCTCTTTCTTGGCCCAGGCGAGTTTCAGGGACCATAGAGCACTGACCGTGTTCTCAGCTTTCATGTAAGTTACTTATATCAATCTTAATAAATATATAACTGCCTTTTTCCTGGCATCCTTAGTGTGACTCTCTTTCCGGTCTCATTTTGGTGTCATAATGGGGCGTGGTAAGCTGCAGGTACGTGATCTCTCCCTACAACCCAGGTGAGGTACGGGCCTGTTTTCCTAAGTGCTAGAGTTGGTAAGAGGCTGGATCAGCTCACGGGTTCTCCTGTCCTCAGGGTCAGCTATCCCACCTGCCAAAGGTATGAGGAGTGGAGGAGGGGAGGGCATCTCCCCTTTTTTACACCACCATAGGCAGATGAGGGAAACAGCCATATCGCTCATGCTCACGTTCTGGGGGCCAACTGGCACTATCACTGGCAATAGAGTCAGCTCCACTGTGCTGCCTAAGAGGTGCAAGGCCTGCTTTCTCTAGTGCTGCAGTTGGTGAGGGGCTAGGTCAGTTCTCCTACCTGCTACAGGCGGCAAGGGGGAAGTGGGACAGGGCATCTTTCCCTCGTTGTCATCAATGCCACATGATAGATGGGACCCAGTACCAGGTCCTCAGAGCCAGCCTACCCACACCCCGACCAATAAGAGCCAGCTCTGTCATGATGCCCAGGTAAGGTACAGGACCTCCTTGCTCCCTCAAGGGCTGCTTCAGTGAAGGGTAGGACATGTCCTCATTAGTGTTCCAGCTAGAGAGGGGGAGGGGCAGATGCAACTCTGTGCAGCCCTATCCTCTCCTCTTTCAGTAGTAACAGGAGCCATGGAGATCAACACAGATGAGGCCACACCAGGGCCATGCCTGGAGATATGGCCCTTGGACACAGCTAAGGCCTGAACAGCAGCCTCCTTCTCACTGCCTTCACCTCTTCAGAACTGCCTCTCTCCACAAGACATGAACCATTCTATCTCTCTGTCTTCCATACCCCACCTTTTATTTGCTGGCAATAATAGAACCAATTAGGTGCTGGTTAGGCCTGTATTCTCTTCCAGATCCAGGGCAGAGAGTCCTGGACCAGCATGTGAATCTTTGTCTCCCACTTACTCTTACTGCCTCTGTGGAGGTTCCTATCTGCTCTTTAGGGCCATGTTGTGCAGCTTCAAAAAAAAAAGGTCATTTATCCAGATATCTGGACTGGTGAGGTGATTCTGCTTAGAGAGCAAAATGGTGCCTGACAGTCTGGCGCCAGGAAGGGCTCACTGGTGAATTCTTCTCATTCTGAGTCTAGGGACCTGGGGCATAGCTCTGTTGTTCCTCCAGAGCCTGCCACGCCTAGAAACCAGGAAAAGACTTCTCTGAGCACACGGAGATGTGGAAGTGGGACGTGGTGCACATAAGTTATTGAGTACATTTTAGAAACTCTAGCCAAGCACGCAAGACGAGAGGAGCAAGAGTCCACACTGTGGAAAGGAAGAAGTAAATCTGTTTCATTTTCAGCTAAAATATTGCAGACATTCAAATAAATGTGTAAAACGTGACTTTAATTTTAAAACAAGTTAAAGGAAATAGATACATAAAATCAACATGCCAACATTAATTATTATTTTCCTGAATGATGGAGGTGTCATAAACCCTGGTAAGAGATCATTTGAATAAATAAGTACACAGCATGAAATAAACTTACATATATAGTAGTTCAAAATCACAGTATAGAGATAATTTTATCTGTGAGCCAGTAACACAATCAACTAGTAAATGTAATATGCTTCTGAAATTATTTAGCTGAACACACAAAAAGACGTTGTTATTGTGGGCTGCAAGAGTCAGCACACAGACTCTGAGACACAGAAACATATGTTAAATGTGATAGAAATAATTATTAATATGACAATAGATATCAAAAATGGGTGTTTCTATGATTTTTTTAATTTTCGGGAATACTTAAATTCTTTTGGAAATAGGAGTTCCTGCTGTCTCACTCGCCTCTGCCTCCTTGAGTAGGAACTTTTTCAGAGGCATTCCTTTCTAGCCTTGTGCTATGTGCCAGTCTGTTTCCTTGTCTTTCTTTGCTCTAATATGACCAACTCATCTTTCTTCACTTATTTCAGATCTACGACGTCCCAAAGCAGTACTCTGATCTTCACATAAGAAATAACTTATATCATTCAGTGTCCTCTTTGGCCTGTTTGACATTTCTTTATTGAATTCAAAGATAACTAGGGTTACAGTACTCTCATTTTCTCTTTATTATTAACCTGACTTGGAATGTGTGATCAGAAGATATGATGTTAATATCCATGCAATCCGATTGCACAGAATCAGCTGGCTCATATTAATACCTAGGTGAGTAAGTGTTGGGAGAATAAATTGATGAATATATAAAATGCAGACATTGTTATTTGGTGGCTGGTATGGTGAATGTACAAGAGAGAAAATAAGATAAACCTCGTTGCTTTACTAAAGCTCAAGACTGAGCAAAGTTCACTGAGCATTTGTTTTTTATACTTAGGTACAGTCAGAGAACCTGTGCATTAGCTACAGTGTCCTGTCCACAAGTCCCGCTCAAGCGTAGGTTGCCTCATAGAAGCAATGATCGCTATATGACTGTATTCACTACATTTCCTTATATACCCTTGCTAAGTTCTCAGAACTTCAAATTTTACTTTACAACTTGGCCTAATCTTTAGGATTCTCTTTAATCCACTTGCTACCCTTAATCTTTTCTCATTGTGCCTTATTACTCTTATGATTTTAGGAACACAACTATATTTTGTTAGTTGAAGAGATGGGCAGGATCTTCTACTTATCAAAAATTACCCCCAAATAATGGAGCCAAGTGATCACCACACCTTTGAAACATGAATGGAATCCAAGTGGACCCCCCAAAAATTGGAAAACAGTGTACTATTATGCTGTTCAGTGATTGTTACAAAAACCATGGTTAATACAATGAATAATGATTAATATACTAATGACAAATGAAGGTTCATCACTGTGTGTTAAATGTGTTCCATACTGAGATTCAGTGGGCCAGTAGGTCACTCAGTGTTAATTGTGGATGTCAGAATTGGTTTTGGGTTATGCAGGCTGTCACCCCCTCCAAAGCCTTCAGCTTGGGCAGGTTATTCTCTCCTGAAGTGTGTTCAAACTTAGAGCAAAACAAAAGAGCTTCAACTAGAGGAAGGGTAGACATCATTTCCAGAGCAACAAGTCACAACTCCAGGTTGGTTAATCCCTTACCAATACACCAATTTAAACAATGATTAAAAACTAAAAGCAAACAAAAGTGCATTTTAGTACTTATATAACTTTAAGAAAAAATATGATGTTATATCTCAATGGGAATGAGGACAACCTTGCCATAGGATGGTGTACTTTTATGAGGCATGAGTACCTTTACTGGGATTCCCAGCTTTGCAAAGTATCTAAGTCTAATTAAATCCCTTTGTGAAAACTTTAAATACACTTAATTAAAATAGGTAGACTCGGAATGATTAATTCAAAAAGTAAGTAGGTTAAAGTGCAGGCTCATTTCTTCTGCTAATTAGTTGAAGGATGATCTTCCTTGCCAAGGGGCCAAATGGCAGGAGATTCATTTCTTCATTTCAAATCTGTTTTTAAATGTCTTTTTGAAGCCTTTAGGCTTTGGAATTTAAATTCTATAAAAATTGAATGCCGAGGATTATTTCTTCTTATTTTATACTTAGTTAAACCCAAGACAGGGCTCAGTAAGATTCAAGGATTATAGAGTGCCCAATGGCTGTTGAATCTGTACACTTGGTCAGCAAAACTGGCCACATGGCAGTTTTATGTGCTTTTCAATACTCTTGAGAGACTAGCCTAGCTTCATCTCTTATGATCATTTTCAAAAACTGTGACTTATTCATTTAAGTTTTGATACTTCAAAATACTAAACTTGTTATTGACATGGCAGATTCTCCCTGATGACAGCCATAAATATCCTTATGAACTTTATTCTCCTTTGTCTATAAGGTTGATAGGATGACATGAATAATTTGTGTGGAAAGAAGAGTCTTCTCAGTATGGGTCCTGTAATTACTTTGAATTCTGTTTCTATAATAATAAATAATATTGCCCTGTTACAAAAAATTACACCTTTATGGTATATGCCTTCTAGAAACTGCATTTGTTGATATCTTGTCCAGATTTATATCAGACAGTTTCTGTTTCCTTCTATTTTCTCTTCATAATGTGACAGAAGGCCCAGTAACATGATGAAATCTCTGGAAACTCTCTTAAAATGAGACTCTGTACAATAATATAAAATTTTCTTCATGAAATTTTATCACACTGCATTCATACTAACTGTAAATCTGAAAGAAGATATCTGGTACAGCTGATGACATCTGCACTCATAAAAGGCTGAGTTCCAAGCAGTACTTTCTTACCAGATGAGGTATATTCAACTGGTCTCACATTCATTCTAATGTCATCATTTTGTAGGTCTATGTTCATTGTCAGTATTAATTAGGGTTGTGTTTCTGTCTTTCAGGGAGAGGATACAAGTATGAGTATGGCACACATTTATGTTTCATATACGATATATGGCATATAAATATAATCTAGACATAAATCAATATTGTATACTAACAACCTGAAAGAATAACCAGGTAGAGATGTGTGTGTCTCTGTGTGTGTGTGTGTGTGTGTGTGTTCATGTATGTGAAAGATAACCTATCTACCATTCCTTACTGTCAATCACCTTGGTATGTCTTGTTTCACTCTTTTTTGTTTGTTTGTTTAATATGTTGAGACAGGTACTTTGATGGGCATAGCATTATTCATATAACCTAGTCTGGCTGACTGGTGAGCCACAAGGATCTGGCTTCTTCCAATAGGATTATAAACATATGTCACCATGCCCAGATTCTGTTACAAGAGGTCTGGGGAATCAATCAATGGTTCTTAGAATTGCATAGCAAGTGTTTTCCTAACTGAAATGCTTCCAGAGACTCTAAAAGTTTTTTTTCATTTATTTCGAAATATTTATTAAAGTCCCTATTCTAGACTCTAAAACAAACTTTAGTTCTGCTTGGTGGCTTATATTTTTTCCTTTTTAAAATTTTAATTAGGAACCATCTTGTTTTACATGTCAATCCCAGTTCCCTCTCCCTACCTTCCCCTACCCCTTCCCCCCAACATCCCCCTATCTTTTCCCCTTTCTGCTTCCCAGGGAGGGTTAGGCCTTCCACATGGGGAAAGTTGTAATCTGTCATATCATTCGGAGAGGGCCTTGACCCTCTCCTGTGAGTCTAGGCTGAGAGAGTACCCCTTTATATGGAATGGGATGCCAAATTCCATTCATGTGCTAGGGATAAATACTGATCCACTACTAGAGGCCCCATAGATTAACCAGACCACAATATTGATATCTATATTCAGGGTGTATAGAACAGTCCTATGCTGGTTTCCCAGATAACAATATGGGTTCCTTGAGCTCTATTTGTTCAGGTCAACTGTTTCTGTGGGTTTCTCCAGCCTGGTATTGCCACTTTGCTCATCATTCCTCCCTCTTTACTACTGGATTCCAGGAGTTCAGCTCAGTGTTTAGCTGTGGGTGTTTTCTTCTGAGTCCATCAGCTATTAGATGAAGGCTCTAGGATGGCATATAAGGTAGTCATAAATCTTATGGTGAAGGACATTTAAGGTAGCCTCTCCTTTATTGCTTACATTGTTAGTTGGGGTCAACCTTGTAGATCTCTGGACATTTTCCTAGTGCCATATTTCTCTTTAAACATATGGCTCCCTCTATTATGGCATCTCTTTTCTTGCACTCCTCTATTTTTCTGCCAACTCCGAACTTCCTGCTCCTCATTTCCTCCTCTCTCCTCCTCTTCTCCCCTTCTCTTTCTTCTAACTCCATCTCCCCTCCCTCCATGCTACCAGTTAGGTCAGGAGTTTTTGTCCCTTTCCTATTATCTGAGAGACAATGTATCTATCTTTCTTAGGGTCCTCCTTGTTTCCTAGCTTCTCTGGCAGTGTAGATTGTAAGCTAGTACTTCTTTGATCTGTGTCTAAAATCCCTATATGAGATAGTACATACCATGTTTGACTTGGTTACCTCACTCAGGATGGTTCCTTCTAGTTCCATCCATTTTTTTCCCACTGAGTGAAATATACCACATTGTCTCCATCCATTCTTCAGCTGAGGGGTATCTAGGTTGCTTCCAGGTTCTGGCTATTACAAATAATGGTGCAATGAATATAGTTGAACAGATGTCCTTGTTGTATGAATCTGTATCTTTTGGGTATATGACTAAGAGTGGAATTGCTGAATCTTGTGATAGACTAATTCCTGTTTTCCTGAGGAGCTGCCATACTGATTTCCAAAGTGGCTGTATGAGTTTGCATTCTTACCATCAGTAGAGGAATGTTCCCTTTTCCCACATCCTCTCCAGCATAAACTCTCACTGGTGTTTTTTATTTTAGACACTTTGACAGGAGCAAGATGGTATCTTAGAGTTGTTTTGATTTGCATTTCCCTGATGGCTAAGGATGTTGAGCACTTTCTTATGTGTCTTTCAGCCATTTTAGATTCCTTTATTGAGAATTCTCTACTTAGCTCTATATCCCAACTTTTAATTGGATTATTTGGTTTTTAGGTGACTTGCATCTTGAGTTCTTTGCAAATTTTGGAGATCAGCCCTCTGTCAGATTTGGGGTTGATGCATATCTTTTCCCATTCTGTGGGCTCCCTTTTGTCTTTTAACTGTGTCCTTTGCCTTATAGAAGCTTTCCAGTTTCAGGAGGTGCCATTTATTAATTGTCATCTCAGCATTTCTGCTACTGGTGTTATGTTCAGGAAGCGGTCTCCTGTACCAATTCATTCCAGAGTACCTCCTACTTTCTCTTCTCAGAGGTTCAGTGTGGCTGCATTTACCTTGAGGTCTTTGATTGATTAGGATTTAAGTTTTGTGCATGGCGATAGACATGGATCTATCTGCAGTCTTCTACACACCAGCATTCAGTTATGCCAACACCATTTGTTGAAGATGCTTTTTTTCCATTGTATAACTTAGGTTCTTTGTCAAAAATCAGGTGTTGTTAGGTTTGTGGGTCCATATCAGGGTTTTAAATATGATTCCATTGGTCTACCTGTCTATTTTTGTGCCAATGCCAAGCTGTTTTCATGACTATAGTTCTATAATAGAGCTTGGCATCAGAAATGTTGATGCCTCTGGAAGTTCCTTTATTTTACAGGGTTGTTTTGGCTATCCTGGGTCTTTGTTTTTCCGTATAAAATTGAGAATTGTTCTTTCAAAGTCTGTGAAGAATTGGACTGGGATTTTGATGGGGATTTCATTGAATCTGTAGATTGCTTTTAGCGAGTTTGGGTGGTTTACTTTTAAATGATAAAATTATATTTAAAAGCACAAAGCTGAGTATAGCTCTTGAATAACTTACATTATCTTTTTTAGTTTTTAAATTATTTTTAATTATGTGCATATGCATGTGTTTGAGTATGGGGTTTTAACTTGTGAGTACAGTGCAAGGGGAGGCTAGAAAGGTGCTTAGTATCCTCTACACTCCAGGGTAAGGAGCTTGAGCTATCAGTGATTGTCAACTGACTAATATGGGAACAAGGAGTCAAAGTTGAGTCCTCTGAAAGAACACTATACCTTTTGAACTGCTGGTCCATGTATCCAGTCTCTCAACTAACATACTTTTAAATAAACTTTATTTTATAAAAGCTTTAGGCTTATAACAAAAAATAGCAGAAATCTATAGAAATGTTTTTTTGTCTTAACTATATGCATTATCTCCTTCAATATCAGTCTCCTCTAGCAGTATATTATGCTTGTTATAGTTGGTGATCTCAATTGAATGCTTCTCTGCCACTCAAGGTCCACAGGGACTAGTCTTGATATTGTGCATTATAAAGACTGATGTGACTGTAAAATGACATATGTCTGTCATATAGCATTGGAACATTATTTTCAGTGCCTACAAATCTTTCACTTCCTTCCTGCTCACATATCCATTCTGATGCCCATTCCCTTCCACTTAAAGTTGTGACAACTGAAATTGTACCTTTGGAAATTAAGGATCTGATCTGATACATTTCTGCATACACTGAACCAGGTCTAAAATTGACTTGTCGTAACTTATTAAGTATGAGATACTTAAGTAGATAATATTCCCCTAATACATGCAAATATGCAAATAAGTCACTAACTTCCAGATGATTGTCTTTATTTTCCATGGGGTGCCCTATACTCATAAATGGTGGTTATTTGTAACTCAGCTGAAAGTATGAAAATGTTTCAGTTCAATAACTAGTTGGATTTGTGTCCCCAAATTCATTATCCACTCTTCCTGCCTTGACTGTTATCTTGCCCTTCCTTCATCATCTTGTCAAGTAGAGATTAAGAGCATCCCTTCTTTGTCTGACACCTCAGGAACGTATTCTCCAGAGAGAATACCATAACACAGTACAAGTCTCCAGGCCATCAAGAATATGAAGACATTTGAAGAGATATCTCTCGCCAGTGCTTCTAGAGATATATAACAGTAGCTTCATCCAAGGAGAACTTAACTTCTCTAAATGTGAAAACTACATATTGAGCTAGAGGTTAAAATCGTGGTCTGGAAACCTTTGTTAATCTGCCCAAGGTGTTTCTTCAAAATATAAAATTGTGTTGCTGTTGTGTTTTAATCTGGTTTTATCTCTTCATTTACACAACTGCTTTGACATATCTTTTTAATTTTATGTATTACTGGAATTACATAAAAAGGAATAAAGAGAAAGGTGGAAGGAAAGAAAGTGAGCTTTTGAGCTTAGGTATCATATGTTCAAAAAATGATATGAAGTATAAAATAATGCATCTTTGTAAAGAGAAACCTTCCTGCCAGCCTGGTTCCAGAGCCGCATCAGTCCCAAATAAAGACACAGGAGGCTATATTAATTATGAAGCTGTTGGCCTTGCTTGTTTCTTACTGGCTAGCTCTGACTTAAGTATTTATCCCATAATTGTTAATCTAAGTATTTCTCTTACTGGAGAAGTTTCGGGGCTTCCTATCCCAAGGTGGTTACATCTCGACTTACTGTGTTTCTCCTACCCAGAGTCCTCCTCGACTCCTAGTCCCACCTATCTTGCTTACCTATTGGCCAACAGTGCTTTATTGACATATACACAGGACTTCCCCGATCACATCTTAATTACTTTATAAATATTTAAATAAGTATTCTGAGCTGCCAACTTGAATACAAGCTGTTAGGGTCCAAGAGAAGCCTCCTACCCTGCCCCCGAAGACTAACTGTCACATATATAATAAACAAGAATTCTTTATTTTTCCAAGGTTGGGTGGCAAATAGCAACCTGAAAAGGAAGTCACAACTCTTTTTAAGAAAAGTTAGGGGAATTCTAGGGAGAATGGATTAATCTGGGGCTGACTGATGGAGGAAAAATAAGACTGGGGGCTGATGGTGAAAGCTGATTGTTGGGAATCCTAGTGGTTACAGGCTTTGGGTAGCAGAGTAGGGAAAGCTACCTTTAGCTAGGAGAAGGCTGGAGGGTGCCTGATGAGCCAGCAAAGGGGCTTTAGAGGCCTGCTGAGGCAACAGAAGGGGCCATGTGTTGCCTTCAGAGCTAGCAGAAGGTGGTGGGGCTCCTGCTATTTGGTTGACCCCATGTTGTGGTTTTCCTGAGAGCTGTTGGCTCAGCTCTTATGATTTCCTGTTGGGCCATCAGGAGAGCCTGTCTTGGCTCTGATTTTCCCCCTCCTCCCCAAGCTCTCTCATAAGCCATAGTCAATTAGTTACACTCTCTATGTGCAAACAGTTGCCCAGTTCTAGAAGTTACTAAAAAAAGACTATCATCATGATTCTACAGTTATTGATGACTTACAGACTCTATAGGTTCACTCATATAAGCATGAATTTAAGAGGAAAAGCAAAAATACACATTAAAATCAGTATGTAGAACTTGAGGCCCTCCTGACAATTCTGTCCAAAATTCAAAGATGCAATAAAATACAATCTCTTTTACAAGCAATCATTAAACTGCATCTCTTATCAGCCCAGTAACTTTGATTAGACCTCCTTAGATATGTGTCTTAAAAATTAAATCTAACTCTACTTTCTCAGCTGACACTCTAATAGCTGCAACTAACTCACCCTCTGCTTCCTCTTTTTATATTCTATTCCATTAGGAACAAGGATTATGTTTTCCAAGCTTATGATATTAAACTCACCCATATTTTCTCAGTCATCATAAATTCTATGGAGGGCACATTTAATCAGTCTTTGGCAAAATAATGAGATAATTCTACTGGTAAGCTGTTGAGGTGAAATAACCATGCTGTTGAATTAGAGATGCTTAAGTTGGTTGTGCTAAAATTTAGGTTGGCATTTTTTTTCTCATTCTTCTAACCCTTAAATACCTGTTTTACAAGGTTGGCATTTAATTCACATAAATGTTTCTCTCAGTGCAGAAAAGAAATCTCATTTTGCAAGCATTTTCAATCAGAAATTATATATAGGAATTGAATTTGTAAGTAATATAAAGGTTGCCACTTCATACAATGAAGCTGTTTTAACATATACAATTCCAAATGTGACACGTGAGCACGTGTAACCTTCATCACACAACCTAAGACTTTCCTGTGGTTTCTGATGCCCCAGATGCAACTACAAAAATTAAGGGATTGCTATCTCTGTAGGAACCATGTAAGTGTTAACAAGTGTAATAGAAGCACACAAAGCACAGTATCAGATTGTCTAGACTTACATCCCATTAAGAAAAATAGGCTTATGTGAAGACAACCCACTCTACCATATGATATTGGATAAAATCCAAAGAACGATTACCAGTAAGACCATTCTGGGACCGTTCAGATTCAAACTGTCTGTGTATACTTTAGTCAAAAGAAACATTTAAAGAACTAAACAAATGAAAAAGTAATCACCATCTTAGAAATAAGGGCCTGTATTGGGGATGGTGGCAGAGTAAATTCTGATTTGTTATACAACTCAGGCAAAGGAACTATTGAAGGCTTTCCTATAACCTAGTTACAGGATACCTATGGAAGCTAAGTAGATACACAAAGAGGAATACTTTACAGAAAATAAATAATACTGCCATATCTCATGAGTTACCAATGACAAGGGATCAAGAAAGGAAGATAAAACTTAGTAGACAAAGTTAACAAGAGTCTGAATAATAACCAGAACGAAGAACCCATGGGCAAAAACCTGTGTGTTCAAACAAGAAATTGCACATTAATTTTTAAAGTTGTTTACTTGTTTGACAATAATGTGTGATAGTGTTCTTGTTCACTGTAAAGATTTGCCACTCATACTGGTTTAATAAAACACTGGTTGATCAATAGCCAAGAAGGGAGTATGGGTGGAGCTACCAGAAAAAGAGAAGTCTGAGAGGAAGAAAGGCAGAGAGAAGTCCCCAGCTAGACACAGAGGAAACAAGATGAGAATGCCTTACTGAGAAAAGATACCAAGCCACATAGGTAAAACTAGATAAGAATTATGGGTTAATTTAAGTTGTAAGTGTTTGTTAGTAACAAACCTTAGCAATAGGCAAGATTATAATTAATATAAGCCTCTGTGTGTTTATTTGGGACTGAATGGCTACAGGACTTGGCGGGACAGAAATTTCCTTCTATAAGACAAAGCAACTCATATTTGAAAGACAAGTGAGCCTAAGAGAAAAGGAAATTCTATAAGGGTTACAGAACCATGTCAAAGCAAGAGGATAAAGATGCTCATGATTCATTTGGCTTCCAAGGAGATTTTCCTGATAACATCACTTAAGCAGGTAATAATTTATTGCCATTTTTAGAGAAACTTCCTTCTAGACAACACATAACTTTATCTGAAGATGAAGGGGTTGAAAAAGACACATGTTTATGGAACTTAGAATATAAGAAGAAAAAATATCCCTGACGGAACTCTGTTGTGATGTCATCCTGCTAGCACTGCTGTGTGATATGAAGACCATAGATTTGTCTAATTAAAGTCAGGGAATCAAATAGCTCAAGACATGTTGACCAAAGGACACAGTTGTTTTGAGCATCCCATGGGGAATGCTATATGTAGATCTGAGAAGTAGGTGAGATTCAGATAGCAAAGGACTGATAATATTTTTTCTTATATCAAGTGATAGTAGATGTTTTTAACCTGTGATGCAAATAAAGCTTTAATATAATCTGACCAGTGTGAATAAAATAACCTAAAAAGGATCAGTTAGGTTTGGCTATGGACCAGCTAGGAAGTTCAGGTAGAGAAAGAAAAAAATGAACCAAACCTTGATGTTGAAGATTAATGGAGAAAATGATGAGAAATCAATTGCTTAAAAATAATATTTTTTAATTATGTAGAAATGTGTTCTGAGAAAGGACAAGTTTCTAAAAATAATTTCCTATATTTTATCTTGTATGACTAAAGCGTATGTGTAGACTTTAATTATGTATAGACCTTAATTGTATCTAGTTTATAAAATACAGGAACATATATATGAGAAAAATAGCCTAGATTATCAAGACAAACCTATTTCTAGACATAATCATGCAGCTTTGTAAAATAGTATCTTATTAGAAATACAATTTTATATACTATTTTAACTTACATTAGAGGGCTTTTTCAAATATAGGAAGTACCAAAAAAAGCATAATTTTAGTGGATTATACTATTTTGTCTTAGAAAATTATCATAATTTACTAAAATAGTGACTTTTTATGAGGCAATTAGATTTTTTCTCTACTTTTCATACTTAAAATATTGCTATTGTAAGGAATTTTTCTTAAACAATTTGCAAATATTTCTGAACAGTTTTTTGTTTTAAATCATAGAAAGTACAGGAATAAAAGCATATGTCTTCACTATAGTTCTTGTTATGGTACAAATTTTTCTTCTAGAAATTTTGTTACAAATTATAATTCCACCACGCATACGCTCATATGAGACCATTCTTCACCATTGACTCTTGGTTTTCTTATATATCAGCTCAAAGGTATGATGTAAATTGATACAGAAGATTCTCAAATTATTTTATCCATGGACTAAACACACAGACCTGATTGTGGTGGCCAACCCCAGTAGATAAACCAACCTCTAGAGAAGAGAAAAAATGGAAGTTATTCATAAAACTCTACAAAGCTTCCACATGGTGTATGCAACAGAGAAGTAAAAATATGGATTGTTAGGAAAAGTTGTATAGCCATAAAACAATATAAAATACTTCTGTAAGTAAATAATATAAAGGATAAACATAACCATGGTCTTTGGGCCTATGGGTGAGTTCAATAGTAGAGAATTTCCAAAAAGTTGCAAGGTCTTGAACATTGTAGCAAGCAATGAATAAATAATTAAATAAAAATATCAGAGATTTTGAATTTTTTCATCTTTTAGAAACTGCTTATAGATTATCAATTTATCTTGGTAGTAATATCCACTTTTCTGGATTAATGTCATTCTTTTCTTTAAAATTGGGAAGACAGACTCAGAATACTTTAGTGACCAACTCAAAGCATTGCAGTTAACAGGGAACTATAGGGAATTGATTAAAATCTTGATACATTTTTGTACTGAAATCAAATATTTTTCTTTAAATATCTATGCCTAAGCCCATGTATAATGTACTTATAATGAACAATGTGAACTTTTATGTGGTAGGTCATACATTTTTCTCTACTTTTAAATACAGAGAAAATTAAATTTAATTCATTAGCTTTAATTAAATTAAAAATGAAATTAAATTTCATAAATTAACTGATGAAAACATGTATTTAATTTGCTATCCTAACCATAAAATATCACTCACATATTTTCTAAGTACAAATATTGTTGAAGCTACATTACTGTATGTTTTTATAAAGTACAGTGTAAAACAAGTAATGTTGGTCCCCAACCCAAGGTAAACGATAGTCTAAGACAATGTCTGTTTCTGATCAGGACTGACATGTCATTTTACTTCTTTTTTTTGCCTTACTTTGGCAATTTTAAGTTATTTCTGTAGCTACTTTAGAAATTCAGATCTCTACATTAAGGCTATTGAGACACTCTCCTGGTTCCCCAAATTTGATGTCTAAAATAAAAGTGAAAAATCAAGACATAGAGGGAAAGACATGGAGTCCTGGTACCAATTCTGTACATGAGGATAATGTAATTATGTTTGACAGCCCCAGAAAATTATAATGATGTTAATTTAGCATGCCCAGGGACAAGTTACAGGGAATATAAACAAAGCATCAGGTATAGTCTTGCAACAGTAGAAGAACTTCAAAGTCAAGTTTGAGTTCAGGTGTACCTGAATTTGTGGTTATAGTCCATTCAGCCCTCAGGATCCAGTCGATGGAAATTTTCTAAAATTTGTTTTCAATTATCTCAGCAGCCATCACTCCACTTCAGAGTATGCAATGAAGATAAGCTGTCATGTGTCATGTCTCCTTCAGGACAATTTGATATTCACTGTGTTGGTGTTAACAGAGCATATATGCAAAGATGTTCATCTTGGAATGAAGAAATGTATATATTGAAATATGACACAAACTAATTAGAAACTTGTCCTTCCACCAGCCACTGTGACCTTGACACTTAGATTTTTCAATGTGTCAGATATGCAAAATAACTGAAACTTCTGTTTTAGTAAAGACATTGTAAAAGACAGAAAGATCAATGTGCCCGTTATTTTAAACCCCTGGGATTTCCCTTTGTAAAGACTGTGTCTCTGAGGAAATAACAGCTAATAAGAAGATACTTCAGGAACTTCTGAGATTGACTGTGTTCATGTGAGGTACACCCTTGTCCATATCCCTTGGGCTTTTTCACCTTATCCATAAAATAAAACAAAAGGAAAAATTTAATAATCCACACAGTGAACACCTGCTCCACTACAATGGCTTTCCAAGACATGTTCATTATTTTATTAATGTAGGCGACGTATAATCTGTTAACATTTCCACCATTTTCTTCTAAATGATTATTCCCCAGTTATTTCACACCTTACATCCATATTTTTTACTCTATTTTCCTCCATCATATTTTCTGGAGGTAACCTACATTACAAGCATCTTCGATTTCTTTCAGTATTTATTCAATACTCTTCTCTATTTTTCCCTTTCTATCCATACCCCTTCAAATTTAAGCAGCATTTGCTCATTTAAATTAGTAGGCACCTACTTTATTCTCGGTGGCATGCCACATGAAGGGAGTTAGAACACATGAGATATCAAAGTAAGAATAAATAGCCTGTTAATGCACTTGGCAAATTATACTAAATTGTAAGATGCAGCAAGGACAGAGGGAACAGAGTTATAATGCAGATGGACTTTGAGGGAGAGATCACAGTAAAATTAGACTTGGTGAGAAATAAATTTACTAAGAAGAAATTATTCTGAGAATAATTGCTGAAAATGGTGATGAGTGGAAAGGTGGAGTAAGAGGAATACAGTGTCAGCCAGTAATAGATTAAATAACCCTAAAGGCATGGACTAACAACTGGAACATGTGGCTGTACTTTCCTCATGGTATGTAGGAAATGTATTTACTAGTGAGTCTTCCAAACTGTGACTGTGAAAGCCCATGCTAAATGTAGCATGATGGTTATTCTAAGACCTGGAAGCAGGGGGTAACTAGGACGTAAATCGGACACAGTTCTTCCTGTCCTAAGAAAACCCACAGTCTACAAAGGCCTATATGCAGGTGCACACTTAATTTTATATCAAGTGGGGAAAGCAAAGCAGATACACCTCTACCATCTAGGAAAACCTTGAAAGGTTTTATGGATCTTTGACATCTAGAGATTGAGTTGAAATTGGCCAGATTCAAAATAATAATAAAATAAAAAAGAAAAATTATTTCAGTGAGACATGCCTATAGGAAACCCGGCCCCTTCTCTTCTGTTATAGTCCTTTCCTTTGAAATTGCCCTACACAATGAACCCCATTAAACTGTACCTCTGCTTCTGAAGTACAAGTGTTCATCCTTCCTCCAAGATGAGGCACTTTTATTTTCCAGTGTGCCACGTGTTCCCATTCTTCTTTTTAATTTAAGGTATCATCCCAACAAAATTTCCACATTGGCCTGTGAATCTACTCACAGCAATTCCTCCCATGGACTGGGCTTAGTCTCTCTTTTCCACTTCTGAAAATATTCACCTCTTTTCCAATGTAGTAATCATTACAATTCTACTTTTCCAGATAGTTTAGAAATAGTGCTTGGAGTTACTTTAAAACATAATTAGACATGTAATCCTGGTTAGGATTTTAACCAATGTTTGTTGAATAAGTGATTAAGGAATAGGTCTGTTGCTTCTAGAAAAAAAATCAGATGTGCTGAGGGATGTTGTGTCAGAAGCACTTTGGGCATCTGTGCTTGTGGGACTACATGAATCAGGAACAACTGAGACCCAGTTCTGCCATTCTGCGTGGATCTAATCTGTTCACGTTGTCCCAATGATTGATGATAAAACAAACATCCCTCAGACTTAAAGATAAAATGGGATGCAAGGTGTCAAAACGACTAATGCAATGTCTGATATGCCCAGGTATCTAAATTTTATCTCCTTTCCTCTATTTATCTTGACCCTGAAAGTTGTGTCCAAAGGTCTGTGACTGAGCACCAGCTTGTCCACAAGCACCATGTGGAAACAATTGTCCATTTGTTAACAAGCAAAAGTAACATGGTGAACCAAGATGTAGTGAGCATCATGTAACTCACAAAGGATCGTAGTTAGAAAGCTACACTGAATGAGAAAACATTTGGGAAACAATTAATTAGTACACTTATTTTTATAACACTATATCTTATACTCTCTCAGCATTTCTTCGGAAAATGTCAATGCATTGTAGCCACTATGAGTAGAACAAAGGGAGGTGTCTTTGTAGGCATCCATTAGATGAGCCCAGAGTACCATATTTCAGCTAAATGAATTCATGTCTGTAGGTAGCTGAATCTTGCTTCTCCTCTTCCCGACTTGAGAAAGAAGCATTTGGGTGGAGGCTCAGAAATAAATAAAATATAATGAAAATCACTTTCCAGAGCCCAATATATAACATTCAAATTGAGCCTGTTTTCACTTAATTACCAGCTATATAAACAAGCAAAGAATTCCTAATGGTTGCCATTGTGTTATCAGATATAAGAAGGAAAATAAATAGCATATATTTTGTAGACCTATCTAAATGGATTAAGTGTCTCCACTGAGAAACTAAGAGCTTAGAAGAATGGAAATAATGTGTGTTATGGGTTCCTTTATTTTATTATGATTATTTTAATTAAAAAGCATTAGCACTTCTTGTATGAGTGATAGATGTCAAATAAATGGAGTTAGGGTTATTATTAAGGCTTCAGTATGTCAAGCAATTTCAGTCATTTATGCTCTTTCTAAACCTGGCATACTAATTAAAAAGAAGTGTTAATACTTAAAATTCATCTGAGAACAAGAACAAAATAAGGACAACCACACAGAAGTGTTGTGGCACTTAAACATGAAAAAACATGTAAAACTTTCACCACAATTAGAGAACACCTGTTGTCAGACATTCTGATACAGTATGGGAATGAAGAATGTGAAGCAAAACAGTATTGACCAGCAGTGCAGACACATTGTGAAGCATAGTCAGTTCCACAGCGTGTGTCTTTCTTCACACTCTACACATATATTCAGGCTCTCATTCCCTTTTGGTTCTTTTCTTCCACTCTCTTGGCCTGAGTCGTAAAGCCTAGGGATTACATTTATTTTACCAGATAATCAGAAGTTTGTCTTCCTTTCTAGAGTGTCTTACTTTCAAGCAGTTGATGAAATATATTTATTGAGATTTGACCTATAGGTCCACTTCTTTTATTCAAGTTTGGATAGAATGTCCCAGTGACTTAGTTTCTTTTCTACTGCTGTGTTAAGACAACATGACAAAGGCAATTAGTAAAATAAACCATTTCCTTTGGTTTGGGGATTCATGAGGCAGAAGAGAGATAACTGGGAGTAAGGGAGACTTTTGAAACCTCAAATATATAATGTATCAATACTACCTTCTGAGTCCACTTTCTATAGCTCATACTTACATGTTAAAGGCTGACTACTTGGTGTTAGATAACCAATTATGGTACTCATCCCTTGGTAGGTCCATCCTCTTTTCCCTCAAAAGCCATTAATGCCTGTAGCTCTTGCCCCAAGGTTAGGGTCTTGGGAAATGTCCCCTATCTGCATTTGCATGTAAACTGGTATTATCATTGTGCAATTGTATTTAAGAATAGGATGATTTTGAGATTTCATTGATACAGTTGTCCTATATAGAAGATACCTGGTCTTCTGCCTCTTACAATCTTTCTCCCCAGATTTTGCTGTTCCCTGAAACATAGTGTAGGCAATTGTATTGTAAATGTGTCACTTGGTGTTGAGCACCCCAGAGTGCTGAACATTGCATATCCAGGTGTCAAAATGTTATTGGGGAGCTTTTTTCTATTCTATCTGCACATTGTTGTTTTGTATAATATTGAGTACTTTCCAACTAGACTTTGCTTTGGAGAATATATCAGCTGATTTTTTTTAGGAATAATACCATTATTTCTTTTTCATAAACACATATTTGCATTATTTTTTTTGGTTTTACGAGACAGTGTTTCTCTTTATTGTTTTGGAGGCTGTCGGTCCAGCCCGGCCTCGAACTCACAGAGATCCGCCTGCCTCTGCCTCCCGAGTGCTGGGATTAAAGGCGTGTGCCACCACCGTCCAGCTGCATTATTTTTATATACTAAAATTATTAATTTTCATTTATTCTCTGAAACTTATAAGTCCATCTCTGGACTAGAAAAATGAAGGAAATAGTTTTCTTTCTAGAAACTATCACCCATTCTCTTAGATCCTCTGCACACTTTATTGTTATGCCATGCAACGTAAGTCTAACATCCTTCATATCAATGACAGATTGACAAGGAAGATGTAAACCTTCCCTTTGCTTCCTTTATTTTCCCTGAAAACACCTCATGTCCAAGAAGAATTAAAGCATTTCAAAAATGATGTGAACTATTGAGTGCAGTAAAAGTAAGTGGATTAATTTTAATTAATAAACCTTGAATTATCAATGAAAAAAATTCACCTCATCCAATTATTTAACTTCTACCCACTTCAGACTCTCTGAGTTACTGAGACTGTACCTCATGCCATTTCTTGTTGTGAACTGTGCTCTATGAATGGTGATATGCTGTCTTTTATCATGTCTCTCCAATATGTTTCATTTTTTCCTGCTTATACACACTATAGTTTTCTTTATATACAGTCCAAGTACCATCTCAGTTGGTCAAAGCCCCCTTTGCTTTCTTACAATGATGTGTCTCTGCATCTCCACCAAGTATCTTCACTTTATTGTGTTCCCATCACAGACTCCTTATGTTTTAGCTGTTACTTTCTACTTCATAAGAGATTCTTTTGGTAACATGGTGCAATAAAGTTCTCCCGTCTTCATCTGCCCCACCAACCCCAGACACTCTTCTAGAACATGCCTCCCTGTCAGTCACTCTGTTTTCTTCATTGCACCCATTACCACTTATATCGTGTCTTTATGCGTGTTCTTGTCATTTCACTGCTTCTTCTACCCTGAAAACATATTCTTACCATAAGAATAAAAGTACCAACTGATTGTAGCAGTACCTAGAGAACA